TAGCAAATGATCTACATGTTCCTTCACCTCCACCCAAGCCGCTAAACTTCGAAGCTTTGTATGAGCATTGCCTGCACTCCATTGCAACAGCTCGGTATTTCTAAGTATGGATTTTTGCTATTGCAACATGATGTCATTGGGCTAAAATGGTCCTTGAATTCCCGATGCTCAGGAAGCATATATTTAATGCGGGGTATAACAGTAACCCAAAGAGGTCTGAGATCAATAACTTCTCAAGGTTAAAGGGTCGGGCCTATGTGTGATGCAGCAGAACAATCAGAAAAGCTGAATTTGGAGGCTAGCATCAGCTAGCAGGTGTACAAGCCTCTCAAGCCTTCCATCATTGAGGGATTCTATTCAGGTTGCATGCTCCTTTGCCAGGTGGTTTTATACATTGCAGCAAAAAACAAACAGTCCACGGCTAAAGAAGGATAAGAAGGGGCTTGGCTTGGCGATGCCTGCCCGAGCGATAAGGGTTGCAGCCGGAAAGACGGAGGAAGTAATGTTCCCGCGGGCGGGCGACGACCGTCGGGGTCTCGAAATGGCTTAGTGGATTTCTGATCGGGGTCCCAAAAAAGGCAAGGCGTGGGATGGGTCGAGATGAGCCTCGTTCCTCAGCCTCTATGTAAGACAGTCAGTGTCTCCGACCCCCTCAGCCTGGCTTCCTTTTCTTCTCCTCCTCCTCGCTCCTTTCATCCTACCTCTACTTCGTTTAGTCACAGCCTGTGTTTTTATACCTTCAAGGGAGCACATTTTCCCCCCTCCCTGATTCATAATCCACAGTCAAGGACGTGAGTCATAGTCACTCATCTTCTTAGTCTGTCTGTCTGTCTTATCCGCTTATCAGACAAAGCATTACATTCGTCTGCTCCTCTGTCATCTCTAAACTACCTAGACATATACTCTTTGATACCCTAATACCCCTGATTCATCCATTCATTATGTCTGCAGACCAATTGCTCTGTCAGATTAGCCAAACTACACCCGATGAGGAGTGGTTCGACTTCAACAACTCTTTTGATATCCCCTCCGGCTGCCTGGACAGCAATGCGACCTCGATTGATTCGGTCTCGCCGAGAGACTTTGACCTGGCATTCCCTGACTTGGGCGAATGCAACTGGGGTGCCACTCCTACGGCTTGCCCCGAAAACCTGTTCTCGGAGTTTGTGAGCTATGACGGTCCATACGAGACATACCCAGGCCTGTCATTAAACAGCCCGCAAATAGGCCTGAGCGCAAATGATACCATTCAACCGCTTCCCACCCTCTCAGACCAAGAGCTCGCCGGGTTAACTTTCGATGATGCGTGGCCCCAAGAAGCGACCTACTCCGAAGACCCCTTCTACGCGAGCATCCGACAAATGGTTGAGGCTCAAGCCATGGCCGACTCGGGTTGTTCCACGCTCAAAGAGAAGAGACGAGATGCGTCTATCGCTATCCACTTGCAGCGCTTACAGGAGGCCCCGTCTTCCGAGTTTGTCCCGTCGACTTCCAGCACCACGTTCCCCTCTCCTTGTTGGTCGGGCTCCGCACAAAGCAGCACTGGCTCGTGTGCAACCCCCGCCAATGGCTCGTCGCCAGACATGAGTGAGAAGGACCAATTAGCGACGCCGCAGGCTTCGCCTTCTAGTGGCGCCATGGAGCTGGTGCTCGACCTGAACATGAACACAACGACGAACGTACCCAAGAAACAGAAGCCCAGATCGAAGGCTCAGAAGGAGAGCTATATCAAGGTCCGGAAATACGGAGCCTGTGAGAAGCATCGAAAACAGCACAAGCGAGTAAGTTGATACCTGTCCCTAATTTATTCCAGACGTTATGCTAATTTGATTGTAGTGTAATTGCCTCGAGAAGGCGGCCGCTCTAAGCCTCGCGAACGGCTCGTTTGTTTCCTCCACCCATTCGGTGGCCCACTCGGCGACGAACACCCAACTACACGTCCATGGACGTGGCAATGAACGCTACACAAGCTGGAAGCAGGCGAACATTTCGCCCACGCTACAACCAACCGGACTCCACGGAGTAGAGCAGGCCACTGCACGCTCACAGGTGCAACTTCCGCATGCGCTCCGTCCATCAAAGGCCAGCGTCCTTGTAACTCAAAAAGATCAAACTCTGCAGGCAACGACTCAACATCCTGTGCGCCCTTCAACCACAGGTCAGCCGGACTTTTTAGTCCATCGACCTCCACAGCCAGCAGCGCTCCGCCGCAACGGCGGCCAGGCGGCCGCAACGTCGAACAGGAAGCACTTCCAATCGGATGGCAGTGCGATCCGCACCCCAGGCCTCGGTCAATACCTGCAACTGTACAACCTACGCCCAGACCAAGTGCTACGCCCCGATCATGGCATACGCCCCAACCCCGGTGTACACCCCGATCATGGTGTCCGCCCCGATCATGGTGTCCGCCCCGATCACGGTCTTCGCCCCGACCAGGGCCTACGCCCCCGCCCCCAACAGAGCCTGACCGTCAAGGTCTCCAATGGCGCTGTATCCCGTGGAGGCTGCGATCAAACCCGAGACAAGACGCATGTCAACACTCAACCGGTGAGCTGTGGCTATCCAACGACCCGCACCCCGGTTGCAAGAAACAGGCGTGGCACGTCGGATACGCAGCCAAGCGCGACCCAACTACCAACCGTCGCCCAATACACTGGCTCTGTGCTCATACACAATACGTCTGCGCTTACGCGCTTTGTCGACTTTGGGAACATGGTTGTATCCTGGTTGGGCTCATCTTTCGGCAAGCTTGCAGTTTCCACATTGCGGAAACATTGGCTCGTCCGCAAGGACATGGGCTTTTGGTGATTGAGATCGTCAATCTGATATGCCAATATTTAACGTCGTGTTTGGTTTGCGCGGAAGATACCATATACCTGTTTGATAGCATGTTGTATAATGTTGGGTTGTGTTTTCGGGTCTGTTGACTGGTAGGAAAAGCTGGTTTTCTAATTTGGGCTGGGGGTGAATAGCATTAATGCTGTGGTGCTCTGATTTTAAATTGTCAAGTGTTTGTAGGTGTAAAGAGAAGTAGAAGTAGAAGTATAGGCACAGTCAATGGTTGTAAGCAGTGAGTGGTTGGCCGTTTCGGGAGGAACACGTGGGAAACTGGGAGTGTTCCATGGGTTGGGTTGCACCTGCTGCCTGCAAACAGCCTTAACCGGACAACGTCATGTTTTGTGCTTGTTGTTGGTGGTGGTGGTGGTGTTGAGATGAGCTTCTACCACTAATCTCAGCTGGACCAAATTTCTCCTGGACCGACTAAACTACCCCATACTAAGTTATCACATCATCTCCACAGCGGGAGTCCAAGAAAGGGATGGCGAGAAAACTGGCAGCTTTTCCGGCTCGCTTCCGGCGCATTGGCGACCCATCGCCCGGCTATTGGCCGCTTGACCACCATCACCACCACGATCACAACCAACTCCTCGCTCCCCGTCGCCAGTCGATGCTGTGCACCATCTTTCGTATTCCACTGATCATGTAAGTTACTCCTCAATGATACTTCATATACATCGCCAGAGCCTCGTCTTGCCTCCAAACTAACGCTCTGCAAAGCCCCATCCTCCTCGTGGCCACTCTCCTTACAGCCGGGTTCGTTCTGATGGCCGAGTCCACCCCGTCCGAGTCGCATTGGCGGTTCTCCATTGTCCCAGGGTATTTCCTGCAAAGTGAACCCACCACCGACGCAGACAGCTTTGACTATGTACGGACCCTTTACCATGAATTTCTTGCACCCCCCCCGTTATTCATAGACAAAAACGGCGAAGCTAACACTACAAACCAGGTCTCCGCCAACTTCGGCCTGATCCCGCGGCCCTACGACTCGGACCCCGAGTTCGACCCGGAGGGCAACAAGACGCAATGGGAGCGCTTCGAGCACCAGGTCCGGACACTGAACCGAGATGCTGAGCCCGACACCGCCTACAAGGTGCTGTTCCTGGGCCGGCACGGCCAAGGCTATCACAACGTCGCCGAGGCCAAGTACGGCACCGAGCTGTGGGATGTACGTACTCCCCTTTACCACCTTCACGCTAAGGCCCAGCTCTCCCTGACTGACCCCCCCCGAAAAGTGCTACTGGTCCCTCCTCGACGGCGACGAGAACGGCACCTGGGTCGACGCCCGCCTCACCTCGCTCGGCATCTCGCAAGCCCAAACCGCCCACTCGGCCTGGAAGACGCAACTCGCCCACAAGATCCCCACCCCGGAATCCTACTACGTGAGCCCATTGAACCGGTGCCTCGCCACCGCCAACATCACCTTCAGCGGTCTGGGGATCCCCCATACGGAGCCCTTCCGCCCACTCATCAAAGAGGTACTGTACCTTCCCCCCCTCCCCCTTAGCCCCTAGTCCCCCCCGCAACCAAACTCACAACCACCCCCCAAAAAAGCTCCTCCGCGAAACAATCGGCCAACACACCTGCGACGGCCGCTCGACCAAATCCGCCATTGTAGCCGAATACCCGCTGTACCGCATCGAACCGGGCTTCGCCGAGGCCGACCCCTTGTACGACGCTCGCCTGCGCGAGTCCGACTCGGCCCGCGACAAGCGCTTCCGGGATCTGTTCCAGGACATCTTCAGCCACGACAACAACACCTTCCTATCGTTGACGGTGCACTCCGGCGCCATCACCAGCATCCTCCAAATCACGGGCCATCGCGCGTTCGCGCTGGAGACCGGCGGCGTGATCCCCATCTTTGTCAAGGCGGAGCGCGTGGCGGGCGCGCTACCGCCGATGCATGTGGAGCCGTGGTTTCCGCCGCCCGTTTGCAAGGATGGTTCTGTCCCTCAACTCGGGTAGGGAGGGTAGCTGCTGCTGCTGCTGCTGCTGCTGCTGTGGTTGGTTTGGTTTCGGTTGAGTTGGGTTGGGCTGGGTCATGCAGGGCTGCCCTTGGGTATTGTTTGTATTCTTGTATAAAAGGCTTGGTTATTCGGTAGTAAGGTCATACTGATACTGTCCGGGTAGAGGGGCCCAATAGGTTAGAGGGAGGGAGGAAGGAATAGACCGTATATAACGCAATATATTGTACACAGATTCGAGCTCCAGGAATAGAAGTGACTGCTCATGCAGATGCCATGCATATCAAACACTCCCCAACACACACACTACCTACCTATCTATCAGGTCATGTCAACCCGGCAAGAAGAAAACAAAGCTGCCCAGAAACACATAAGAACGAAGAGAGAAATGCTATAGTTGCTTTCTTCAGGGTAAAAGAGGGGGTTTCAAGGTTCTAGAGACATAATACAGGTTTGTGGACGGAACGCCAGGTCGAAGACAAAAAACAACCACGAAACAATGAAGCTACCCGGTTTTGTTGGCATGAAAAGGATGAGAGAAAAGAAAAAATTACAACCGCTCTCGGGATCGGTCCCATCTACCAGGAGTAGTACTGGTTCTGCTGGGTGATGGGGCGATCCGGGAGCGGGGTCCAGAGCTGGGCCTTGCGGCGACGGAGATCGCGGGCCTCGCGCTCCTTCCACTCCCGGATGCGGGTGGCCTCCTCCTTCAGCAGGACGGACATACCGGTGTGGGGAGGGCGCATCATGTTGATGACACCGCGGGCGCGGTGGTCGGCCTCGTATCCGTACGGACCGCGGTTGACCCAGACCTGGTCGATGTAGATGGCGGTGGGGTCGGTGACGGTCTTCTTGGAGCCGTCCTTAAGGGTGATGGTGACGGGCTGGGGGGTGGGCTTCTTGGGAGCGGCCTCGTCGGCCTCGTCGGCCTCCACTTTGGGGACGACGGCGCCCAGCCCCATACCGGAGCGGACGATGGCGATGTTCTTGGCGTGCTTGAGGTGCTCGAGGACGTCCTTGGCGGCCTTCTTCTTGCTGAGGCGCATCTGCAGGATGGCCTCGTCGATGCTCTTGCCGGCGATCTGGCGGCACAGGGGGCCCAGCTTCTTGATCGAGGTCTTGAAGAAGTGCGACTTGACCAGCGACTCGCGCTCCGTGCGCATGATCTGCTCCGCCCGCGTCAGCCGGCCCCGGCGCCGCACCTCGCGGATCACCATCTTCTTCTCCCACCGCAGCCGCGTCCGCGGCTTCGGGTCCAGCACCGCCTGCAGCATCGACCGGTCGCGCTTCTCGACCGCGAACGTCCGCTGCGCCGCCGCCGCCGCCCGCTCCTCCTCCGTGGGCCCTTGCCCGTCGGCGGTGGCGCCGGTGTCGCTGGTGCTGGCGGTCTTGCGGCTCGTCGGGGTGCGCCCGGTGGTGATCAGCTTCGGGCCGGCTTCATCCTCCGAGAAAATCGAGTCCGTGCCGAGAGAGCCCTCGCGTTTCGGAGGCGCGGTGACCGGGCGGATCGTGGGCTTCGGAGCATCGGATTTGCTGCCGCCAAAGAAGAAGTTCTTGATGGAGGAGAGGGCGGACGGCTTGGAGGGTGGTTGCTGCGGCTGCGACTCGGGACTGGGCTTGTTGTTGGGGGCGTTGCTGTCGTTGTTACCCTCCTGGGCATACCGGATGACTGTTGAGGTCAGGGTGCGGCGTGGCACGTAGGTGAGGTTGGTCCGGGCTGCAGGTTTGTTTGGTGTTAATGGACGGGGTCACACATATAAGCATTGGGGATGGGAGGGGATGGTTGTCACGGATGTCCCTACCTGACCGGATGAGGTGCCCGTAGGGTTGGATTGAACCCATTGAGGCCATGATGGGGGGAGGATGAGGGGGAAAGGGAGGGGAAGAGAGGGATTTGCGTGCAACGGGGATCCGGAGATGCTTGAGGGAAAAAAGTGTCGGTTGATTGATGGGCTTGGCTTTTGCGCGAGTGGTTTGTCTGGATGGAAGGAGCATGTCTGCCTTGCTGCCTTGATGCCTGGTAAATGCGGCAACTACAAACGACTAAGGACACCGCCACAGAGAGCTGGAGTCTAGGTACTAGCCACAGCGGTAGCCCCCACTAGCCACAACGGCTAGTGAGTTCCCGCCAGCGCCCGAACAGGCAAGGTCGACCGCCGCCGCCCGGGCCCCGGCGGTGCTCTTTCACTGCAGGGTCATGTGCTACCATTCAAATCCCACCTTAGGCTAACTAGTCTACAAGCTGACTCGGGAGCTTTCAGTACGTACTACGTAGGTAGTAACCTAACCTTGAAACTTATCGAGGATCAAACTGGAATCTAGTGCCGCCAATAAGGCCCGACGGCTTGCTGTACAATTACCTCATAGGCCGAGCCTGCGTCTTTTTTCTCTCTTTCCTCCCTCGCTCTCTCTCTCACTGCAGCCAGGATACCTACCTCACTAGCCCGCTTAACCCAATTAAGGAACAGCCGCCCCAGCCCTAGAGTTTCCTGTCCTGCTTAAAGGATGTGAAATGAGATCCATGCTCGATGCCATGATGAAAGATTTCACTTCATTGATATGGATTAAGAATCTTGCATGCCTTTATTGCATGTCTTCCGACCGGAACAAAATCGTGTAGCTAGCACCAGCCAATCCTTCAGCCAGCCAACCAACCTCTCGGTCTCTCGATCTAGGCACACCTTTCATACCCATCACACACCACGGGACAACTTCCTTTTTCCCCGGGGGAGCGGAGAAGGTGTCAGTCAGGGTCAAGTGTTCCAGGTGGTGGTAAGTTAGTGGTGGTCACCCGGCGACAGCACAAGAGACAAGAGACAAGGGACAAGAGACATCGGCAGATCGGAAAGTGTGCTGCTGCGGCCATTACGTCGAAGGATGGTTGATGCTGTCCTCCCCTGTCGCCGGTTACACAACCGGTGAAATCGATCGCAGTCGAGATCCTCGGCCGTCATCAAGCAACGTGCACTTTGAAGGGGGGTATGAGGACTCTACGGTAGGTGTATCCGGTGTATCCCAACAGTCAACATTTGTGATTGACTTCGAGGCCATTCACTTCCAAGTTGTCTTATCCGATATCAGATGGAGCAGCAGTTCAGTTAGTACCATGTACCATGTACCAAATTGGAACTTACATCCGCCATCAAGAGATCCGATATCATTTCTCATAGTGGGGGTGAACTGCACTCACCTTTTGGAAAACATCTTTCTTCGCCAGTGAGATTCAACCACTCGGCATACTCCGTATACATACTTCCATAATCTGGTAGACTGGCAAACAGTTGGTGAATTAGAAATTAGTGAACTGGATTCGACCTGATACGTCTTAACTTACAGGTTTCAGCGGTTTCTATATAGCTCGTGTGTAGTTCAACAAGGCGAATTGTGGTGGTTGCCATTGTTCTTTGATTGTTATTTTTTCCCTTCCCTAACTTACCCTTCTTTTACTGCTCCAACTCCACCGCGTCGATCCACTGCCTGCCTTCTTCTGCCTCATCCATTCTTGTCATTCGTGTTTTTTTTCTCTCCCTCTCTTGGTGTCTAGTCTACCTAGTTCTTCAAGTCTCCCGATCCTCTTCCGACTCTTCCTCCTCCTCCTCCTCTTTCTCCGTCTCCTTCCCCTTCCTCCCTCTTACTCTCAACCCGCTCACCACCTCATCAACCTTCCCTCCCCTCCCCCCGAAAGGGACATCCCAAGAATTCCCCAACTTTTTCCCGCCCAAACTCCACCGCCGCCGACTTGCCCATTTTAGCTTCCATTCTATCGCTCGGACCAAGATCAGTTCGTCTGGTTGGAGTGAGTAGTGTGTGCTGGAGACTGTCTCTCTGTTCCCCTCATCCTCATCGTCTCTACTACCGCATCTGATTACCTACTATCTTCTCTTTTCCCCCTCCCTTCACCCACCTACCTCGTCTATCCCACCCTCTCCTCCCGCCTTCTCCCTCCATCAGGGGTTTAAAACCCAAGATAAATAAATCTAGAGCGCGATCTTGTTGCTCGCAGCTCTCTCCGCAGTTGTTCTCCTACCTCCGCCCAGCGCCTCACTTTAGCAGTCTTTGGCAAAGCGCCCAACCTGTCAAGCTTCCTCCCACCTGCAACTCAAACCAAAGGCCTGAACAAATACCAGTGATCTTCAAAATACCGCATCACTTGCATTTGTTTGGTTGCTTTTGCTTTGGATTACTTTCTATTTTGATTACTTTCCCACCTGAAACCTTTCTCCCCCTCCGCCTTCACTGTTCTTGTTTTTTTTCTCTCTTTTTTTTTTTCTTTCTCCTTTTATTTATTTTCCCCCTCCGCTTGTTCTTCTTTACTTTCTGAAGTTCCTCTGTTTTCTTCCTGCCGTCGGCCAGCCCACTCAACTGGCCCGAATAAGTGACGAACGGACCCCCTTCCATCCCACCCTACCCAGACCGACAACAAGGATATTCAAAAGCAAGAATACGCCACTCCATCCCTCGGTTCCTCGAGACACAGAAGAAGAAGAAGAAAAGAAAAGAAGAAAAAGAATCTGGCCAGGTTGTGACGAGTGCAGGAATGGACTCGTTGATGAGGTCACTTGCAACGGTTCCTCTCTAATTCGAAGTTTTTCTTTTCTCTCCTTCGTCTATTCCCTTAGTCTCTCATTCCACTTCGAAAACTTCCTTACGTCAGCACCATAGCTGGCGCTTGGACTTTTGCTTGATATCTGCCGCCCCGGTTTTCGCTCTCGTCTTTCTACCCCGTCATCCCACAGCCTTGATGATGGACATCAACTCCCTCCTTTCGCCCCAGGATTCCAATTCACAGTCCGGGCGCACCACGCCCACCGCCGGGTCTACGCCTGTCAACAATGCCTCGGTTCCCGTCTCAGGCCCGCCGCAGCCAAAACCCTTGCGAAAGTCTCGTCCCGGCGCAACCAAGCAGGGTATGACCTCCTCGCCGCTGGCGCAACATGTGTACGCCCCGAATCAACTGCCTGATCCGTCACCGCCCGCCAACAGCCCCAAGGTTGGTCCTAGCATGGGCAGTGGCAGTGGCAGTGGCAGCGGAACACCCCCGGCAACCGACTTGCCGCCTGCGAGACAGCCCTCCACCCCAGGTATGGACACACTGGCCGACCTAGCGTCGATGCAGCATCACCAGCCTCAGCGTCCCGGCGCCCCTCTCTTGCGCAGCACCGAGTCCTACGAAAGCCAGCTGTCACCCTCCACCATGTTCCCTCACGTCAACCCCATTTCCCACAACACGCCCACTCCCCGATCCTCCTTCGATATCGCGATGTCCGACGGTCCCCGGGAGACCGCCCAACGAAGCTACTTGGATAGCTCTTTGGTCCCCAACGCACAGCGGCAGGCGACCGACTTGTTTGCTCAGATACAGGAAAACCCACAGTCGTACGAAGCGCACGTCCGGTTCATTCGTTTGCTACACGCGGGCTTCGTCAACCACGTCTATCCGCCTAACAACCCGGAAATCCATGGGGATCCACGCAAGTATGATCTGCTTAAGGACATGCGCACCGCTCGCGAGGAGATGGACAAGCTTTTCGCCATGGGCGAAGATTTGTGGGCGGAGTGGATCCAGGATGAGAGTATGCTGGCACAATCGGTGGAGGAACGCATCGCAGTCATGGAGCTCTGCCAACGATCGGTGGAGGAAGAGTACGGCAGCACCAAACTCTGGGGCATTTACGGAGAATGGGTGCTGTACCTTTATAAATCGGCCCATGGCGATGCCAGCCAGAGCTCCTGGACTGAGGAAGATCGGATCGTCGGGCGCGAAGTTTTCACTTGGCCCTCCGTCTTGGAGGTTTGGCACAGGGGAGCCGAGTCGACCCAATGGCGAATCCACGACAGCCATATGGTGTGGGATCGCTTCCTCGACTTGCTCGTCCAGGATCTTGCCCGCAACGCTACCCAAGAGAAGGTGAATCATGTGCGGAACTTCTTTGAGGTCCGTCTTGCAACGCCCCACGCCACCTGGGACCAGACCTTCCAGCTCTTCTCCGGCTTTGTTTCAAACTACTACAACGCGAACTACGAAAACATCATGGCCGACATGGTTGGAAGACACGCCACGGCAGCCAAGGAACAATACTCCGCCCGTGAGGAATTCGAAATCAAGTTACGCAATGCGACCGAGTCCGGCGAGTTGGGACAGGAATATACCTTATTCACGGAGTATCTTGACTGGGAGCTCAAACAAAGTCGTCGGAAACGGCAATTGAGCAATTTTGAGTTCGTCAAGTCGATCTACCAGCGCGCGGTTCTTCGTTTCCCGACCGATTGCCACATGTGGGAGGATTTCATCATGTACCTTGTCAACGAATCGATGCACGGCAACACCAAAACTGCGACGATGGCCACCTTGGACCGTGCGACTCGCCACTGTCCCGGTTCCGGTACCCTCTGGTCGCAATATCTGCTAAGCTCCGAGCGCGAAGGACAGTCCTTTGCGAAGATCGCGGATATCAAGCACAAAGCGACCAGCACCGGTTTGCTAGATGTTGGGGGCATGGAGGAAGTGCTCAAAGTGCATACCGCTTGGTGCAGTTATCTGCGTCGACAGGCCTTCCTGTCTGACTCGACCGACGAAGATATCGACGTGGCGGAGGTTGGAATCCGATCTGCCATTGAAAGCGTTCAGGAGCTTGGCGAGAAGAAATACGGGCGGAACTACCAAGGGGACCCTTTGTTCCGCCTGGAACGGATCTACATCCGCTATCTTAGCGAAAGCGGCAGCTGGGATAGTGCCCGAGAGACTTTCAAGGGCCTTGTCGGTCGGCGCGGTAACAGCTACGAGTTCTGGCTGACTTACTACGAGTGGGAGCTCATCTCCTGGAGCAAGTTTGTGCAGGGAGAAGCCACCATTGACGCCGCCCGGCGGACACCCAACCCCAGCTACGCCACCGCCGTTC